CCATCGACACCAGACTATTCAAGTCCCTGAACTGAGACAGTGTGTCTCCTTGTCCCCCTCTAATACCCTCTCTGGTGTCTGCACACCAATAATGAGTTTCCCCTTAGCACCAAGAACCTGGCTAAAGAGATCTTTGGTTCCCTTTCTGAAACGCATTGGAGCCTGGGGGACAGAAACTGTCATTAAGAGTTCCTCTCTGCAAAAGTTCTCCACAGATCTCATTATATACATGTAGTGAGGTGCATGCACAGATGCACCTCACTACATGCTACATGCTTCCCTCTCTCTTTTTCTGCTTCTCTATGTCACACACACACAAAAATGTGTGTAATTTGGAGGTTTCACACAAACATATTATTCCACATGGCCATCTGGCAGTGTGATTTGCTACAATCAGATGCAGCTTATGCATCAAAAGTAATTTTGTTTTGAAAATGGGAATAGACATATTTTCAAGTTGTTTCCTGAAGGCATTTGAAAGCATAAATAAACATGACTAGAAACACATACACACCACATCTATCTTGACTGACAGCATCTGCATTCATACCTAGAAAATAAGTTAACCTGTTAAGTGGCTGAGTGTTCCCACTTGGTGCAGAAATCATTTTAAAATCAGTTGAAGGAGAAATATATGTAAGCGCTGGGATTTATGCAGAGGGGATTGATGAGAGGAGGAGGTGAATGGCTTACATAAGTTAACATCCACTCTTCTCTTAGAAGTTTCCTCTGTTCACTTTCTGCTACCCCGTAACCAGTAGGCGGGGAGGTTTCATTGCTTTGCTTGTAGCTGCATAATGCGTATGTCTGCAGCACATAAGCATAGTCTATACGCCACATTATGGCAGGTTTTGGGTGCTTAGCCACTTTTTTACAACTGACTGATAAACATTCTACCTACAGTGAATCACCAGTGAAAGCTGTTCCCCTGTTTTAAGTGTTTCAGGAAACTGCTCACATGAATGCCTTTAAAAGGTACAAGCCAATTTGCAGCAGTCAGCAGAGCCGTAGTAGCAGTGTGGGCATGTGGTCCATCTGGCACTGAGTTCATTTCTGTAGTGTTTAGAAAAATCACTGACTTTCATCATAGATCATGACCAGCTAAGTATATTAAAAAGAATACAGAATACAGTTTGTCAGATTTTTCTGCCAAACTATTAAAAGTGTCTACTCTAGGTGACTGAGCAAAGCAAGGAGAAACATGGAATGACTGTGTGCCTTGGATAAACCTATTTATTTGATTTAATAAACCCAGCCATCCCAGTACAAAACCACTGTCCTTCTGCTACTTAAATCTACACAGTTTTTTTCAGGATAACCATGGCTTTTGGAGAAATTCAAATACTTTACATACAGTAAATAGGTATATTGCAGGTGCATGCATTGTACTGTATATGTAGATTTTAGGTTCTAGAAAATTTCTGTTACAAAATGAACTAATCATTGAAAACATTTACTGTAAGTTTTGGTCTAGCTGGCAGCAGCCATGGGTGTACAGCATCATAACCAATAAATAAAACATGCAAGCACTGATAAACAATACAACTTTAGTCAAAGTAGCTTTTTACTCAGGTTCACTGTGTGCATAAAGGACAAGGGTCCAAACCAAAAAAGATGAATAGTCAAACCAATAAATAACAGAGACAACTATTCATTGAGTTCTTCACAGTCTCTTCTGCCATTAAGAAATATGAGCATGTGGGCTCATTCTGCTCATAAGGACCGGAGCGAGTGATAAGTTGGCTGACTGCACCAGTCAGTTCATGAGCAAGCCTCTAATAAACCATACTTTTAGTTTATCTTATAATTTACATTTGATTAGTTTTTTTTCAAATGCACACTGGCAGAAAGAGAATCTAATATACAGGGTGGGTGAAAAGTAACTAGGCCTTAAAAATTGGCTATAGAACTTGTAGCATCACTGGAGTCATGATGAAAACAGTCTCTAAATAGATGATACTAAATAGGAATTCATATGAAATATTTCATTTCATATCAATTTGATTGATATTTGAAGGATTGAATTTGATTCATATGAATGATTTCATATGAAATCAAACAGGATTTCATATAAAATCCTATTTACTGTCATCTATTTAGAGACTGTTTTCATCATGACTCCAGTGATACTACACATTCTATAGCCAGTTTTTAATCCCTAGTTACTTTTCACCCACCCTGTATATTAGAATAGAATAATGTGTCTATAGCTCTTTCATGACAACAAGTGTCCTCATGTTTTATTTGTGCAACGTATTTGTATGTTTGGGTCACTCACATGCTTACTTATTGACCCAGTATTTTATCATTTCTCTGTTTCTCTTTCCATATCCTTTTACATACTTTTTATCTTGCTCAGCTTGTCTTTATCTCTGCTCGTTTGCTAAGTGTACTTGTGCGAGTGTCTGCGTATAGTGTGTGTCTGTGTCCAGTATTCTTTTGGATTTTTCTCTCCTGATGATCTCCTCTCATCCTTTGTGGAGTCGGCTTAATTACAGCGTGGCTCTCTGCGCTCTGCCTGGTGCTAATTAAAAGGGACACTGACTCTCCATAGGGAAAGCATGACTGGGAGTTTGTTCACTTTCATGCACACTCTGCTTATCACTGTCTGACCAGCTCCATTACCATGGCTTTGAGGCCCAGTTTGTAATTGCCTCTCTTTATTACTGTGCCTCCATGTCAGGCCAGGGAACAAGGACCTGCCGCATCAATGGAGAGCCTGTGTGATGAGCCTGGAATACACAAACATGCTCTCATGTGCACAGCGGAAATGTGAACTGAAGACAAAGGCCATGGGCAAAATAAAGCATTTTGAAAGTGAGTTAGTGGCATGCTGAGATCCACTGACCTGATAAAATAGAGGCCATCAAACATACACATGAAAGGCCTGACTTAGGCTGATATAATCAACAGTCTAAATGTTTTATATGTTATTCTTTGCTATAATTAAAAGTTTCACATATTATAATTGGGTACCACTGTCAAATAAGGTGCCATTTATTAGTGTGGTTTATAAGCTGTGTTTTTATTAATAGTTAAAGGGTGTACAGCCATGTTCCTGGTTCAGTCAGTAAGGCTGTACTTACAGTAGGTACAGTGATGCCTTGGGCCAAATGCTAACAAATTTTATGTTTTCCATGATCACTATCTTAGGTTAATGAGCTGCCACAATAACATTCATTAGTTAGCCATAACTACAAAGTATATCTGAGAATTAAGGCCACCACCATCACCAAATTTATTGCAGTACATCCAGCGTGGAACCACATTTAATGGAGATTCATCCAGTAGTTGTGGAGACACTTCAGACCTTCAGCAAAGTTTTAAACCTCATGGCAGCACTAAAAGAAAAGTCACTGGTTCGTCCTCTGACCATGGATGTTGTAAAATTTTATGGAGGTTTGTTCCATAGTTTCATTCTGGACCATTGACTGTACAGTATATATAATGGGTGTCACGTCACCACTTCCCTCCACTATGCAAAAGAGAAGCCAAAATATTGTGAACACAGCAGCAGCTGCCTTCTTGCTGTTTTGCAATCGTATTCTGTGCAGTAGTGACCAGAAATGGAGTGACAGCATCAGACCTCCAATCAAAGCTGTCAAATCAACTGAAATACATCCCTTTTCATATCAAGGAGGCAGAGGAATAACTGAACATGCGACACTCCGAGCAAGAGAAAGGAGGAGAGGAAGAGGGGGAAGCCATTGCTCTCGATTAAGCTACTAGCTTAGCTAGCTTCTAAACTAGCCGACCTAAAGTAGCAAGTTAAATTTGGTAGTTAGCAAGAACTTCTGCAAAACAAGTGCTTTAAGTGGTGCAAGCGTATGTTGTCACTCAAAAATTCAGATGAACCTAGAAAATAGTGAGTTTAATTCCTAAACAGTCTGGAAGCAAGCACAACGCAGTGCAAATACAGAGAACAGGACACAGCAGTCCGTCAAAAGGTTCCCAAAATCACTTAATAAAAACATATTTACCAGGAAAATTTCAACTTGTACATACATCACAGTGATAATATCTGCCAAAAACAAGTGAAATCACCTCTAGGAAAAATGTATTTGATTTATACTTTGAGCTTTTAATTTGGCTGCTGTTCCATCCACTAACATGGAGGAGGTGGGATTGATGATCTATTCTGCAAGCAGCCACCAGGGGGCGATTGATCTGACGTGGCTTCTCTTCTTGGATCTGCCAGGCTCTCCATCAAATACACAGTCAATGGTTAGGATCATATTGCTGTCAGTGGATCCACATTAGTTTTGAGGTTAAAAGTAATATGTCACTGTCTGATAAATAGGTTATAAAGGAAATTTTAACCCTCCTGGAAAAAGCTGCAGGGCATCTGGACCAAAATCCATTTAATGAGATTTGCAACTGCAGGCTTGAGTTTTTAGAACATGAGAAACTACTTATTAATGGTTTGCCACCATTTTGAATGATACAGTAGGTACCACATAATAGAAAGTGTTTCCTGCAATTGTGTTTCCTACAACAGTTCTGAAGATTATATAACACAATCCTAACACACTGCTGCTATTTGGAGAAAATCTTTCAAACATCATCTGTGTGGCGCTGCTGACACAGTACCTGTCATCAAGATGGAA